CACTTGGAGTCGGATCTCAGTCCTTCAGTTGAGAATTACATGGCATAAATGTGACATTACATCTGTAATTGCGATTCAAGCGAGGGACACATCTGACTCTAAATTCAGATCTGCGAATCTCACCTGAGGCAAGTTTCAAGAAACGATTATTAGTATGGGCTTTTCAATGTCTTTGATTTTCAGTCGTATGCATATGTATGCACACGGTTGAAAGTGCCGTAACCCCGATAACAAGCGTGGAGACAACTGTGTGTTGACCCGTGTAGCTTTCTGACATAGCGACTGAATGCGCTGGAAAACATCTGGCTATTCTCTTCTCATGCTTCCTACGTATTCTTCTGTGTGAGATATTGATATCTGTGAAAATTATGTGTCCACAATTACACGACTGTCTGATGTTACACACGAACGCAAATTCGTGCCTCTCCGTTCCCACCGTGCGTTTCGAGAGCGACCACAAATAGTATCAAACGCACGTAGGATTAAATCTGTTTCTCTCGGCTGCATCCTTTACGTACCTCTCTCGTCTCGTCGAATGTACGAAACGTACGTTTCGCTTTACGATACAAATGAAACGCCGTAGCCGAAAGGAACGAACGCACAGTTGCGTTAGCGCGCTGCATACACACACACATACACGCACACACACACGCGCGCGCGCGCGCGCGTATAAACATACATAGTCTTTTAGTAGGAATGCCGCGTGGTTAAAAATTCATTTGTCAAAAATATTGTAAGTTACACACGAGCACTCGAGCGCATCTTTCTAACGACGTTTCTTTTTCATTTTTCAGAGCGAGGCATAAGCGTCGAGGCGGACGTATTTCCGAAGCGAGTTACGCATTTACCGCAGTTACCGACCAATAGAGAGAGAAAGAAAAAGAGAGAAAGATAGACAAAAACAGAAAAAGAAAGAGAGAACGATATAGAAGGAGAGAGGGAGGAGGAAAGAGAGAAAAGTGAGAAAACTAAGAAACCAAAGCAGAAACGGAAAATAAAAGTTACCATGATCAAGCATACTACTGTCCTCGTTTATGCCCATTTTAATAACAACAACGGCCGCGATACAACGAGAGCAACGAGCGTACTCGATGTAACTCCACACGCGCGTGTGCCCGCGAATGTACGCGGTCGCGAAGAGAGAGAAGAGAAAAACAAAAAGAAAAAAAAAAGAAACGAGAAGGAATACCGAATGTCCCGTCCTTTCATTCGATTAACTCCGACATTTCTCCCTTTCGCCAGTGTCTCGAGCTTCACAATTTATAAATCAGTGGATATAATTGATTCGATAATCAATACGACGCGTCCTTACTTTTCCGCGTCGCGTCGACGAAATTTGTTTAACTCGTAAAACGCTAAGAAATTTTCATAAGTCTGCGACTTATCGAATCAAAAAACAAAAAAAAAAAAGAAAGAAAGAAAGAGGAAAAGGAAATAGAACAGAAAAAAGAGGAGCAATGATTTTAACGAACACGACTTTTGACTTTGTAATTTCCTTTTCGGCCTCGCCGTTCTCGATGTATTTAACGTTCACACCATCGTTATGAAATTGTACCACTAACAATTTGTTACATTTTATCAGAAATATAAGAATACACTGAGAGAAAGCGTGATGTGTATGTGTATGTATGTATATATGAAGAGACGTTGCTGTGAAATATCGCCGGATAATGCTTCCATCTTCTTCGCAGCGCGTGTCTCGTTCTCCGGAGAGATTTTACTTGCACGAATGTCTCATCCGGGAGAATCGGTCCACTCACGTGCGTGGTCGTTCGATAAGTACGTGGTCTAATGCAGAGACAGAGCGCATTTCGCCAAATGTTTATTACCGTATTTGTCAGAACCTTCCTTTATTAGGTCAAGCGTGACCGTATAGAGCGATCTGTCGATTAGTTCTCGTTTGACAGTGCGCCAAAGTGAATTCTGCGAGCGACTTAGTCTTACATCAGCAAATACTGAACTGAAAACAGTTTCATTGTTTCTTTTCGCATGATTTCACCGCAATCTGAAGGACCTTCAGCAACGATTTATATCCATAAAACCTGGATCTAGCAGTTCACTCCGAGAAAAAGGGAACAATCAAAACAATGAGCGAACCGAGACACTCGAGGCGTTTATTTTAGCGCACCTTCAAGCAAAGACTAACTGACAGATCACTTTATATATTGTCATATTTAACAAAGAAAGGCTCTATGCACGATAATAAAAGTTAGATCGAATCTGCACTACCTCTGTATTAGGCCGAGAATACACAGAAAAATCTAAGCAATAAAAAAATTGACACTAATCACAATCGATTGTTCTTGAACCGTAAGAAAAATCATCGATTGTGATTGGCCAATTTGCTCAGTACTTAAGTTTTCTTGCTTGCATTTTTCTACCTCTCATCTTGTCGAATATACGAATCTCGTATCAAACTCTCGTATCTCGTGGCAAACAATCGTCATCGCTCGAACGATTCTCGACGATTTTCCGACTTCCGGGCGCGTCCTCATCGCGTTAACGAGTAGACTGTTAGAGTAATATGGATGTTCCGCGACGCAACTGGTACTCGACACGAATATCCGTTTGCGGCGCATCGCGAGTCGCGCAAATCGCTCGGATGAAAATCTCTAGTAGGAGAGAGAAAGAGAGAAAGAGAAAGAATATATCAGGCTCTCTTAGGTAAGTTCTCACAATCGTCGTTTTTTGTGCTCTCTGTTTGCTTGCGATAGACCCACCCTCTTTGCCGCCCCCCGTTCACATGAAACGCAAAAGATTACCGTTAACGTAATATAAAACATATTTTCATGTAGAAATCAATGTCGACTTTGATAAAATTCGTAGCCATGAAACAGCGCTGTTTAGAAGTTTTGCGTTGCAATTTTATATTGCTCAATCATTGGACGTTATTTAAATATATTCAGACGTCTTTTGGATGCATTCCTGAAACTCAAAGTTTTGCCCGCCTTCGCATCACCGTGCGACAGTTGCGCGACGGCGAGTCGCAGCGACGTCCGCGGATTTCCAGACAATCCTATTTGTATGAAACTATTCCCTTAATTGGATTATCAACAACGAAGAGATTACGAAGCAAACGTATTATTGAGTAACGCTTGTGTATACCTATATACTCACATACGTCGCGATCCGTCTTGTTTTTCTCCTCCTAGGAAATAGCTCGAAATTCACGTGAGTGTCGAAGGGTCGGAGAGAAACTTGAGGAGCGATCGGGAATTCGCTCGGATCGTCGATTATTACCGCAACCATATTCATTGTCGATTTATCATGCTCGTTACATTCATTATATTTCCTTCAGCGCATTGACATTTATTGCAATGCGGTGCACTCGGCGACGCTCGAAATTTTCCGACACGTTTAAATGGGGTTTATGTGGTCACACGCTACAGAATTAATTCCGCATAGATCAAAATTTGCGGTGATGCATATACATGAGTATTGATTAGCAAGTTAATGTTAATATACCTTCCGTGCGTGCGTGAGCGCGCAGCCAAATGAAATTGCATGCGCGCGAGATATCCCGTCAATTAAAATTGTATTTTGCCGCGACCTGACGTAAATTTTCATTGGGGCAGTCATTAACATCGTGTGTGCTTGTTCTCTGAAAAATATCGCGGATCGTCAGACGCCTACGGGTACACAGTCGAATGCAAACCTAGTCTCAAGGTTACGCGAATTTTACCGCGCACAAACAAATCGAGTTCAATTGAAGGAAAATCGAATCGGATCAACAGTAGGAACGTGAATCGCGAAATTTAGTCAACAACAAGAGAGGTTCTCTCAGTCTTTAGCAAAATTGAAACATAATTTTATACATGATACAGTTCTTTTTTCATTTATCAAAAAGTTATCCTAACTACACACTACACGCAAAAAAATGACTTATTAATATCAGCTAAACCGCAGTAGTTGATTCAAACTTAGTCAAAAGGCTAATTGTTTAGCTGTCACTGCTAAGAATTGGCTATGACAGCTAAAATGCATTCAATGAAATACAAATATATTAGGTGACACTAAAAATGCACATTATTTTAAGTAGCTAAGAAAATGGCAGTTATTCCTAAATTTCATATCGCATATATTAAAGAAGTTTGCCGCACAGCTACAATCATTTCTTACAGTATTTTATTTCTAGCAACTAATATTTCTCGCTGTAGCGCCTAAGTTTAAATAGCGAATAAATTTAGCTTCGGTAGTAATGTCGCAGCCAAATGAAATTGCACGCGCGCGAGATGTTCCGTCAATTAAAATTGCATTTTGCCGCGTAAATTTTCATCGAGGCAGTCATTAACATCGTGTATGCTTGTTCTCTGAAAAATATCGCGAATTATCAGACGCCTACGGATCGAATGCAAAGTACCGAGTCTCAAGGTTACGCAAATTTTACCGCGCACGAAAAAGTCAAGTTTAATTGAAGGAAAATCAATGTCGAATCAACATTAGCTGTCCCTATTTCAGTGACACATCTTATCTGCCACAGCTATTTTTTAGCTCTGAAAGCTAGTTTTTTTTTTGCGTGTACGAGTAATTTTTTCCGGTGGAGAAAGTGGAATAAATTAGACGATAATATGACCAAAAATAAATTGAGTTAGTTTTACAGTCGGATTATCGAAATAAAATTTCGCCTTTGTTTCGCACAAGACAAGATGTTAAAGAAACGCCCAAATTTGGTTGAAGGAATCAGTCAGTTCGTCGTGAAGAATTCTGAGATTGAGTTCGTTTCATTCGACTCGTGTTTCGATGTATCTCTTTTCTCACATAGTGTACATTTAAAGTAGCGAAGAGAATTAGGAGGGAAATTACGATCGTCGAGATCGTAACTTCTTCATACACTTGAGTTAGTACTCACGTACAAGCTAGTTGCCGTTCAGATGAGCAAGTAGAATTCACCGCGAAGTAGACGAGCACGCCACACTTAATTGCCGCCGCACTAATTGTACTAATTGTCTGACTTTTGTTCCCCCTCGCTCGTCCCCCCGCGCCGCTCGAATCTACGGCAGAGGGCGACGCCGACTCGCAAGATCAAACGGAGCAGAAGTTTTCCCAACGAGAGCGAGACGACCGATCGCGTAGCCGAGCTCGAGGAACTGCTCTCTTCGAGATCAGGTAACGTCGTCGTCCCCGGAAACGATGGAAACTCGCGAAGCGACCGCGTTTCCATCGTCGGGCCGTTTCTTGGCCCGACAACACAACTGCGTTTCGATTTTCTTCATCTGTTTTGCTGAAATATTTTTCTAAACTGCAAAACTACAGTTGGTGTTACCGTTAGATCGATACGATAGTCTTTCCCATAAACATTGAACAGATATAAACAAAACATTTTCAAGTAGAAGTATACTAGAGTATGTAGTCTTGTTGTGGGACGGACTTTTGAATCAATCCAACATTTCCATCGGCAAAAAAATAGAATGCTGTTATATAAAAAATACAACAATTTATATTCTTTTTTATTTATAGAGAAATTTCTTACATAAAGAATTGAGATAATTGAAATAAGAAGACAGAAGCAAATTGTGTGGGGAAAAAACTTCCGAATGAATCTAACATATGTATCGATAGAAAAATAGGATGTTCTTATATTTTATAAGATTTCTATACATAGAAATTTCTTGTACAAATAATTCAGAGGTGATTGAAATTAGATGTGCATAGTTTTGGGAAAAGATTTCTGAATCACAGTCCAACATTCGCATCAATAGAAAAATGGAATGTTCTTATATATTACATGCAATTTTTATACGTAGAAATTTCTCTCGTACGAAGAATTGAGATAATTGGATTCAGATGTATAGAGACAAGTCGGGACGCTCGTTGGTTAGTTTCATTTTTCTTCTCGATGAAAAATTGTTCGGTGGTCTTGAGATAGCTCGTACGATGATTAACGCAATCTCGCGAAAGGAATACAAATCTCCGCATTGTGAGGTACACTTCTCATAGATCACGCTCATCTTATATGTTTCAACAGCGCGGGGCTTGTATAAATCACAGTTCATTCAATAACATACGTCGCCACGGTGCTGCTCGTTTGTGTGCGTGCGTGCGTGCACGCGCGCGCGCGCACGTGTATGTGTATGTGTATATATAGCCATTTTCGGATGTGCTGCTATTGTTCCGAAATGGGAATGTGCCGTGCTACGTTTCGCGAAGTATTATCGCGATTTCTATACAGACCCTACCCTCCCTCCCGCACCTCCCTCCCGACAGAAAAGCGAAATCGCCAGCCACGCTCGCGCGCACGAGGATACGCCGCGTGACGTGGCAATTTGCCATTACCATTCAGGGCCGATATACGAAAACCATTAATTTTGATCCGGCGCGATTAGATTAGCTTCCTTTATAGATATACAAAAGCGCACTGCGCTTTAATGCATCGCTCCGCAGCACGCGATATCCTTTCGCGCGAGTGCACACGCCCGAGCGAATTTCAGTCGGGACGATTTATTAGTGCCGATTCATCGACGAGGGGTCGAGTTCTCTACGCGTCGGGATAATCGAGCCAATTAGAGGGGAGCTAAAATCGCCAAATCTCGCGAGCACACGTCGAGATCGTTCCTGCAAATTCACCTCGCCGTCCTTCCGGGGAAACTCGGGATTGTCAAAAATCCACCGGCGCGGTTGCGTTCACGAACGACAATCTTCCCACTCGCAGGCCTGACGGAATCTTCGACGAACAAGCCGGAGATCGACGAGGACGAGGAGGAGGAGGACGACGAGGACAACTGGAAGGATGCCTCCCCGGTGACACCGATTTGCAGCCCGACACGGCGCCCTCCCAGACTGCACCATCGCGACAAACGTTCGCCCACCAGATACATCGACGTCGATAACGACGTCGAGATCATCCACGAGTTCTATCCGACGACGTCGAAGACGATGCACGAGGAGACGAGCATCGTATCGTACGGCGGCACGATCATCGTGGAGACTACGAGGATACCCAGGCACAGCAAGGACATGGCCGGGAGGATAGAGAAGGTGGCGCCGAAGGTGAAGCTGAAGAAGCAGCCGTCTGTGGAGTTGGATCGCGTGCCGCCCGTGCAGGAAGAGCCGTCCACCAGCGCGCAGGAAGCGGCCAAGATCACGACGGAGGCCGCGAAGTCATCGCGGGAGGACGGAAAGAGCTCGAAACGTCGCGGCAGCTTGGAGTCCGAGGGCCGCACGTCCACGTCGAGGGAGACGCTGGAGAAGTCGGACACGTCGTCAGAAAAGGGTGCCAAGAAGAAGGTGTTCACCGAGAGAGAAGATAGTAAGAAACGATCGAGGAGGTCGGACAAGCGTGCCGGCAAGCTCGACCGCAGAACAGAGGCGGACTCGTCGAGGCGGAAAGCAGACTCGTTGGAGGACGAGGACTCCAAGAGGAAGAGCCACGACGAGACTTACCGGCGGTCGCGCGAAGAACGGAAGAGCCTGAAGGAACAGGAGTGTATCGACAGGGTGACGGAGTTCTTGACGAGGCACAGTATTCCGATCTACCCGGACAGCGGCGGCGGTCTCGAAGCGGTGGAGCCTGCTCAAGTTCCTGCCGAGGTCGTAGACGAGCAGCAACCGGAGCTACGAGTCAAACGTCCGTCAGCTATCGGCAAAGAGGAGGATGCAGATGTTGCGACAATCCCCGAGACGTCTATCACGTCTACGAAACGGAGGGAGAGCCTGAAGAGCGTTCCCGAAACGGAGGAAGCCAAGGACTATCCGGAGGACTCGAAAGCGGTCGTGAAAGATGCTAAGAGAGCCTCGGAGAGCAAGAGACAACGGCGAACTTTGGAACGTGCCCCTGCGGCCGTCTCGGACCAATTTGAACAGGCGACGGTTCAAGAACCCGTGAAACGACCCAGCTCGTTGAGGAAAAGGAGAGACTCCTTCTCCAGAGAGTCCTCGAGGGAATCGCTATTGGAAGAGAAAAAGGGCGTGAGGATCCAAGAGGATGTTCAGGAGATCTTCTTCGAGGACACTAGTGACCAGGTGAGTGGATCGACCTTCTCGAAAAGAGAAGAAAGCTATATAAATATGGATTAAGGAACGCTTCATCGGTGACCCTCACATATGTTGTCAAGAATACGAGTTTGAATAATTTTTGAAAGATTTCAGTTGATATTTATTATTTATTCAAAAGTTATTCAAGAAAAATATATCTAAAGGGTGTTGGATTCGACGACTTGATTTGCATAATTAAATAAGAAAGAGTTAAAAAAAATTTCTTCATTTCGACTCGTCTTTTAACTCCGACCGCGCTGTATATTAGGTGACCGACTTGCTGCCGGAAGTGCAGTTGGTGACCGCAAGGATCATCAGTGCGGAAGAGGCGTCCGCGATACGTTTCGAGGAGGCGGCCGCGAGGATCGAGATCCACTCGCCGCCGGAAGTAGCCGTGGTGTCCGAGATGTTCAAGCCGAAAATTCTGACGCGAGCGCCGTCGCCGGAAGCCGTCGACGTCTCGTCGTTGCAGCTGCCCGCCTTGGCGAAGTCCACTTCGGAGAGCACCTTGGCGGAGAACAAACTGGCCGCCGGCGAGGGCAAGAAGGTCTCCGTGAGGAATCTCAAGCCGGAAATTCTTCTGGATTTGTCCAAGGTGTCCGACAACGGTGCAGAGATCGGCGAGGCGGTGGAGGGCGGCAGGGACATCATGGAGAGGCGACTCAGCCGTACTGGAAGCGAAGGCTTCAAGAGATCACCGAAACCCCAGGAACAAGAGTTTCCTTTCAAGATCGGTAGCATCGCGCAGCCCGACAAGCCGGAGCTAACTATCCTGCACGAGACGGAGAAAGTGGAGGGTAGCGGCGATCTTACCAGGGAAATCGTGACGAAGGACGCGAAGGAAGACGACGATATTCCGAGGTAAGGATTCTTGCCGCGCTTGTATCGATCCCGCGAAAGTGACGGATCTACATTTTGATTCCATATTGACCCTGCAAATTTTACACTAAAAAACAATATTTGAACATTTATTTCTGTGATATTTCTGTGATAAAGTCTATTTCACAGAAATGAATTTTATTTCACGAAAATCAACTTTATATCTCACAAATAAATTTTCAAATATCTTTTCTCAATGTAGAGATTAAAGATAAAAAGGAACAGAATATCGAGATAATAAAGAAACTTCCAATATTAAAGATATTGATGTATCAAATTTGGAGATATTAATTGTCGAATATTAAGTCATTCTCTTAAATAAGTCCCGTTTTAAACTTCAACGTGAAAAAAACAGTAGTAAATAGTCATTTCCTTTAAATTTAGCACACGGTTAATGTGGAATCAAAATTTTCGATTCGGAAAATTACATACATTAATGAAATATTCACTATTTATTATTTTATATAATCCCTCGTCCCTTCTCGCCCCGCGCAGAGTAACGATTCAATAGAATAAATAGAACAACGTCAACTCTGATATTTCTCTCAGCAATTGAATTTCTTTCTGCAACTGAAATCCACATTTTTCGATGTCTTATTTTATTTTATTGGTACGCTCGATCACAAAGTTACAATTACGAGAAGGGGATATTTCGACGATCGCAGTCGCGCGCGGGCGAAAATCGATCGGTTGCGCGGCAGGACGCGCAAAGAGGGGAGCGCAATTTTGTTTGCAGTATCGCAAGCGCGGTCTGTCGATCGAGTTATAAGTTCGAGCGACGTCGCCGCTCGGGGCTTCGAATGTCGATTTGCAAACAATATTGTTTGCCCGGTAAGTTTGTCGGAGTCCCGATTAGGGTTGGATTATACGCGTGGCCATAGAAACCCCGAAGTGCCCGTACAATTTGCTGGAAATCTAGGTCGCCATTAATACGCGCCCAAGTATCTCGCGTCCCGAAATTTCTACGGCCGACTCGAATGCACGTCGAGTTGAAAAATTCACCGTTGCGACCTTTGAGCGCGCGCATGTTTCTCGTGAACATTAAATGACTCTACGTCGTTGGTCGCTGCGAATTCTGCCCGTCGGCTAATTTATCCATGCGCCTTCTCCACCTCGTTGTTTCTCGACGCGTTTGTTTCTTCTCTCCTCCCTCCTTCTCTTTTTTAATTTGCTACTTAATAAATGTAACGCTCACAGCGCAGTCACAGCGGAGTCGGAAGATGGAAACATCCTCCCCTAGTTATTTCTCTCTCCCTCTCTCTTTTTCTCTCTTCTCCTCTTTTTTCTTTACTTTCCTGCCGCTTCGTTCAGCAAGAACTTTTTCGCCGTTAACTTCTACATTTACGACGCCACAAACTTCTCGCAGAGCTCGTACGCGCGCTACACCCACGGAAGAAAGCACTTACCGCGAAGTGCTATTTTTTTATGGGTCGCTCGGATTCACTCTGGAATCCCGCGCAACGCAAACGCGCGGCGATCCGAGCGCGCACGAAGTGATATTTATTTTGTATTTTTACACCCCAAGTGTCTCACGTACGCTTCCGCGGCAGCGGCACGATCGTGCGCGCGGATTGTGCGATTTTACTCGGATTTACCTTGGATTTTCGCGCACCTCTATTCACGTTGTTAACAACCGCGACTTCGGCCGTAAAAGACACGCGGAAATTACGCAGCGGGTCAGGTCGCGAAATAACAAGGTGGGAAGCGTGCGGGAGGCTGACGCGCTGTGTGCTGGCCGGCGAAGTAGATAAGGCAGAGCCGGATCAGGCGTGACGGATACGGCCGCCAGATTCGGACAGGACACGCTGTGAAGGGCAAGAGTTTAAGAGTGGGCCGACGACGATGTCGGGGGAAAAGGGGGGCGGACGGAAATGGAGGTAGAGCGAACGAAATGTCAGCGGGAACAGTGGAAAAGGCATCGCGATGGCACCGGCGAGCGGCACAGGGCGGCGGATACGCACGGCCAAGTGAAAAGAGACAGGCGGGGATCAGCCAGCGGTAGGCGCGAAGTGCCCGAAACGTCGGCGGACGTAGATTGACACGGGGTGACGTCGATGAGGAAAGACGGGCACACGGAGATTATGATGTGACGAGCTCGGAGAGAGAAAAAGAAAGAGGAAGAAAGAGGAAGAAAGAGGCAGAGAAAGAGAAAGAAAGAGAAACGAATATGACAAAAGGGCGACCTCGTTTCGTAAGAAAGAGAGAGGCACGGACGGTGACTTGCTCGAGCGAAAAGCGACGGACAATGCAGGTCGCGAAGTAGAAAAAGACGAGCGGGTGTACGGCAGTTCGTCCGTTCGTCCGTCCATCCGGCTGGCTGGCTGGCTGGTTCACTGGCTGGCCGGCTGTCTGGCTGTAGAGACAAACGCGAGAGCGCGGCGCGACAAGAGAGGATAAGAAGAGATAAAAGCGCCGTTACAAAGGAGCAGAAAAGAACGAGCGGAATTGCGAAGGAGCGAAGGCGGACGCGCGCGAGATATACGACGTTAAAGAGACTTAAAAGATGCGCGGAATTGCCGGCGGGCAGGGAAAAAGAGAAAGAGAGAGAAGGAGAAGGAGAGGAAAGAGACAGATAAGACCGAGGAGAACGTAAAGAAGACGAAGTGGAGGGTGGGACGGCAACTTCAGAGAATAAAAAGAGCACGTGGCGCAGCAAGCAAAGCGGAATGGCTGGTCGTGCATAGAGAAACGTAGATAAACACGACCCGGAGGAAAAATAGGAGGCCTCGAGAGGAAAGGAGAGGGGCAGGGAAGCGAGTCGGTAGCGCATAAGCACGAGGGAATATCGCAAAATATACAGAGAACAGCGACGAGACGCATATATACCACCAGCGGGATCGTATTTAAGAAACAACCGCCTGGTTTAACATCGAGCCAGCCTTTTACTCCTCAAGGATCAGCGAATCAATTCAATTATACGGCTCTCAAGACTCCTGGCTACTTAGCGCGGCCATCTTGATTTAGGACGTCGGAAGAGAGAGAAAATGCACATCCCAAGAATCCTGCAAAGTATATCGCGGTAAGAAGACACGTTCAAAAAATGATGCTTGTAATCGAGCACACCTATAAAATACCCCGAAGACTTTCCTTTTGTCCCAACAATCGCTGAATAACCGTAAAATTAACATGACAAAATCAGGAGAAAAGATAAGTTAAGAAGAAAGTTCGCGTGTTACACGTTAATTTGACCGCTATTTATTGAGTGTCGGTGCTAAAAGAAAGTGTTCGAGGTATTTCAAAAGTGTATGCTTAACCCTATAACGATAACACGCTTATTTTATGTATTGAACGTTTATTATCAACAAATTGATTTAAATTTATTAAATCTCTTATTGTAAGTGATAATCGTTATGCTTTTGTTTGTTTAACGTGGTTGTCACGCGTAATTTAGAGAGTGTTCTTAGAAGTAAATTAGAATAAAGTACATCACTTTTTGGAATGAAGTTACATAAAGTTTACACCAATAAGTTTGGCAGGTTACTGCCAGTCTCAATTGATCGCAAGTGCCATATTTCGGACGCATCTTTTTATTTCGACGTACTTTGCAGGAATTTTGAACATGCGTTTCTTCGTTTCTGACGTCAGCAATCGAGAGTTCCCCAGAAGATTCAAATTAAGCTTTTAGACACCTGATTTCTAACTTGATCAATGCAACGAGACGTCAAAAAACAATTGAATTTCGATGGAGAAACAGCTTCAGTGTCCAATGGGAAACGTCGGCGCGGATCCGAGTATGCGGTTGCTCCTGATGAACTCGCGGATCGCCGATGCCGAGAGCGGTGCCAACTCCACGACACACACGTTCACGTTCGACGATCGATCGTGTTGTCTCCAACGAAGCGCGCTTTAATTGCGCCCCTGGCGAAAGCCGCCGCTCTATAACCGTCCGTACTAATATTTAGAAGCCGGCGAACGTCATCCCGGCATCAATCAGTGCCATTTCGCGCGCGTACACACAGCCAGGGACAATATTTGTTATGCGAACCCCTCCATCCCCGTCATTCCTCCGCCGTCGCGCAGAATATTGGGTCGTTCTACGCGTTTGGATCTTATTAAAACAGTCTCTCTCTCTTTCTCTCTCCCTTCCCTCCTCGTTGCGCGCGCTTTATATTTCGTACTGGAGATCCTGTCGCCTGAAAAGCTAAAAATGGGGAGGGGGAAAATAATGCGCAAGGGTCGCGGGTAAATTCCCGAGCTCGCGAAGGGTGATTTTCGGTGGAACGAGGATACGATACGGTGCCATCACTACGGAGATATATTGGCGGGAAGGAGGGAGGAAAACGGCTTTGCTTTACCTTACGCACTTAAACGTAAAGCGTGCGGAACGAGAGATCGCGCGGACGGAACTCTCCTATCAAGCGCGTACACACTGCACGCATGTATGCGTGCAAGCTCGGTGGTGCGTGTTGCGCGCATACACCGCAACCTCCGCGCGCGGAACCGCGCACAAAGGCGACAATTTATCGCTAATTTAGCGACGGGGTAATGCTGACGCTCGTGCAACGTTATTACCGTTGTCATCTGAATAACGACGATGCGTTCACACACGCTTGGCGGGCAGCGACTTTTCGCCGAACAATTTGCCATTATCGAGACGATAAATTTTCGATAAGATAACCGCGCGCACATGCGAGTTGAATGATTGCGATTTAAACATGTATCGTCGAATTCACGGCGAGAGAGCGTCGCGTTCGTTATTGGCGTTTCAATTTTTGTTCGCCGCACACAGATTGGCTGGATGCGCGAATAAATTCGTTTTTATTTGCGAGGTGGAGTCGCCCGCTACATACGCAGTGTGTATTCGTGCGTGTGCGCGCGCGCGCACGTATGTAATATTTTAAAACAGATTCTGCGCATTTATCTCCCTTCCTCCCCCCCTCTCTCTCTCTCTCTCTCTCTCTCTCTCTCTCTCTCTCTCTCTCTCTCTCTCTCTCTCTCTCTCTC